TCACTAAAATAACAGAAGTAGACATCAGAACCTGGATAAAAATGAACTTCACTGAGCTAAAGAAGCATGTTGTAACCCAATGCAAAGAAGCTAAAAATCATGATTAAACAATGTAGGAGTTGACAGCCAAAACAGTAGTATAGAAAGGAACATAACTGACCTGATAGAGCTGAAAAACACACTGCAAGAACTTCACAATGCAATCACCAGCTTTAATAGCAGAATAGACCAAGTGGAGGCAAGAATCTCAGAGCTGAAGACCGTCTTTCTAAAATTAGACAGGCAGACAAAAACAGAAAAAAGAATGAAAAGAAATGAACAAAACCTCTGAGAAATATGGGATTATGTAAAGAGACTGAATCTATGAATGATTGGGGTACCTGAAAGAGATGAGAATGCAACCGATTTGGAAAACATACTTCAGGATATCATCCAGGAGAACTTCACCAACCTAGCAAGACAAGTCAACATTCAAATTCAAGAAATACAGAGAACCCCAGTAAGATAGTCCATGAGAAGAACATGCACAAGACACATAATCATCAGATTCTCCAAGGTCAAAATGAAAGAAAAAAATGGTAAGGGCAGACAGAGAGAATGGCCCAGTCACCTACAAAGGCAAAGACCATCAGACAACAGTGGACATCTCAGCAGAAATCCTACAAGCCATAAGAGACTGGGACTCTATATTCAACATTAATAAAGAAAAGAATTTTCAACCCAGAATTTCATCTCTGGCCAAACTAAGCTTTATATATGAAGGAGAAATAAGATCCTTTTCAGATAAGCAAATGTTGAGAGAATTCATTACCACCAGACCTGCTTTACAAGAGGTCCTGAAGGATGCCCTAAAAATGGAAAGGAAAGACCATTACCAGCCACTACAAAAACACACTGAAGTACACAGAGCAGTGACATTGTGAAGCAACCATATAAACAAGTATGAAATATAACCAGCTAGCATCATGATTACAGGATCAAATCCACATATAACAATACTAATCTTAAATATAAATGGGCTAAATTAAAAGATACAGAAAGGCAAGCTGGATAAAGAACCATGACCCATCAGTATGCTGTCTTCAAGAGACCCATCTCACTTGCAAAGACACATAGGCTCAAAATAAAGGGATGGAGAAAACTTTACCAAACAAATGGAAAACAGAAGAAAGCAAAGGTTGCAATCTTAGTCTCTGACAAAACATACTTTAAACAAAGATAAGAAAAGACAAAAAAAGAGCATTACATAATGGTAAATGGCTTAATTCATCAAGAAGACCTAACTAAACTAAATTTATATGTACCCAATATAGAAGCACTCAGATTCATGAAGCAAGTTCTTAAAGAGACTTAAACTCTCACACAGTAATAGTAGGAGACTTTAACATCCCACTGACAATGTTAGGCAGATCATCAAGACAAAAATCAACAGAGACATTCAGGACTTGAACTCAGCTCTAGATCTAGTGGACCTTATAAATATCTACAGAACTCTCTACCCCAAAACAACAGAATATATACATTCTTCTCATCACCTCATGGCACTTCCTCTAAAATTGATCACATAATCAGAAATAAAAACACAAATTAGCAAATGCAAAAGAACTGAAATAATGATAAAGTCTCTCAGACCATAGCACAATCAACTGAGAACTCAAGATTAAGAAATTCACTCAAAACCATACAACTACATAAAAATCGAACAACCTGTTCATGAATGACTTTTGGGTTAATAATGAAATTAAGGCAGAAATCAAGAAGTTCTTTGAAACTTATGAAAACAACAATACAACATACCAGAATCTCTAGGACACAGCTAAAGCAGTTCTAAGAAGGAAATTGATAGCACTAAATGCTCACATCATAAAGCTAGAAAGAACTCAAGTTAAAAAATAACATTACAACTAAAAGAACTAGAGAACCAGTAGCAAACAAATCCCAAAGCTAGCAGAAGACAAGAAATAACCAAGATGAAAGATGAAATGAAGAAGATGGAGACACACACACACACACACACACACACACAAAGCCTTTCAATTAATCAGCCAATCTAGGAGCTAGTTTTCTGAAAAAGATTAATAAAATAGATTTACTACTAGCTAGACTAATAAAGAGAGAAGAATAAACACTATCAGAAATTATAAAAGGAATATTACCACTGACCCCACAGAAATACAATCATTAGAGAATACTATACACACCTCTCTGCAAATAAACTAAAAAATCTAGAAGAAATGGATAAATTCCTAGACATATATACCTTCCCAAGACAATCAGAAACTGAATTCCTGAATAGACCAATAACAAATTCTGAAATTGAGGCAGTAAATAATAGCCTACCAACCAAAAAAGCTCAGGATTATATGGATTCACAGCTGAATTCTACCAGAGGAACAAAGAAGAGCTGGTACTATTCCTACTGAAATCATTCTAAAAAACTGAAAAGAAGGAAACTCTTCCTAACTTGTTCCACGAAGCCAGCATCATCCTCATCCAAAATCTGGCAGAGATACAACAAAAAAAGATAACTTCAAACCAATATCCTTGATAGACATCGATGCAAAAATCCTCAACAAAATACTAGCAAACCAAACCCAGCAGCACATAAAAAGCTTATCCATCATGATCAAGTTGGCTTCATTCCCAGGATGCAAGCCTGGTTCTACCTACACTAATTAATAAGTGTGATTCATCACATAAACAGAACTAAAGACAGAAACCACATGATTATCTCAAAAAAGCAGAAAAAACCTTCATTAAAATGTAACATCCCTTCATGTTAAAAACTCTCAATAAACTAAGAATTGAAGGAACATACCTCAAAATAATAAGAGCCATATATGACAAACCCACAGGCCAATATCATACTGAATGAGCAAAAGCTGGAAGCATTCCCCTTGAAAACGGCCACAAGACAAGGTGGTTCCAATACTATGTTGAATAGGAATGCCCTCTCTCAGCATTCCTATTCAACATAGTATTGGAAGCTCTGGCCAGGGCAGTCAGGCAAGAGAAAGAAATAAAGTTATTCAAATAGGAATAAAGGAAGTCAAAGTATTTTTGTTTGCAGATAACATGATTCTATGTCTAGGAAATCTCATTGTCTCAGCCCAAAAGCTTCTTTTTTTTTTGAGACGGAGTTTCACTCTTGTTACCCAGGCTGGAGTGCAATGGCGCAATCTTGGCTCACCGCAACCTCCGCATCCTGGGTTCAGGCAATTCTCCTGCCTCAGCCTCCTGAGTAGCTGGGACTACAGGCATGCGCCACCATGCCAGCTGATTTTTTGTATTTTTAGTAGAGACGCGGTTTCACCATGTTGACCAGGATGGTCTCGATCTCTTGACCTCGTGATCCACCCGCCTCGGCCTCCCAAAGTGCTGGGATTACAGGCTTGTGCCACCGCGCCCGGCCCCAAAACCTTCTTAAACTGAAAAGCAACTTCAGAAAAGGCTCAGAATACAAAATGAATGTGCAAAAATTGCTAGCAATCCTATACACCAACAACAAGAAAGCTGAGAGCCAAATTACAAATGAACTCCCATTCACAATTGCCACAAAAAGAATAAAATACCTGGGAATACAGCTAACAAGGGAAGTGAAGAACCTCTACAAGGAGAACCACAAGGCTTCTCAAAGAAATCAGATATTACACGAATGGAAAAACATTCCATGCACATGGATAGGAAGACTCAATAACATGAAATCCCATACCACACAAAGCAATTTATGGATTCACTGCTATTCCCATTAAACTACCATTGACATTCCTCACAGAATTGGAAAAAAAAAAACTTTTAAAATTCATATGGAACCAAAAAAAGAGCCTCAATAGCCAAGGCAACCCTAAATAAAAAGAACAAAGGAGGCATCATGCTACCTGACTTCAGACTATACTGCAGGGCTACAGTAACCAAAACAGCATTGTACTGGTACAAGAACAGACACATAGACAAATGGAACAGAGAATCCAGAAATAAGACCACACACCTACAACTATCTGATCTTCAACAAACCTTACAAAACAAGCAATGGGAAAAGGATTCCCTATTTAATAAATTTTGTTGGGAGAAATGGCTAGCCATATGCAGAAAATTGAAACTGGATCCCTTCCTTATACCATATAAAAAAATCAACTCAAGATGGATTAAAGACTTAAACGTAAAACCTAAAGCTATAAAAACCCTAGAAGAAAACCTAGCCTATACCATTCAGGATATAGGACAAGCAAAGATTTCAAGAAGAAGATGCCAAAGCTATTGCAACGAAAGCAAAAATTGACAAATGGGATCTATTAAACTAAAAAGCTTAGCACAGCAAAAGAAACTATCAACAGAGTAAACAGACAGCCCACAGAATGGGATAAAATTTTTGCCATCTATCCTTCTGAAAAAAGTATAATAGCCAGCATCTATAAATAGCTTAAACTAATTTACAAGCAAAAAACAACCCCATTAAAAAGTAGGCAAAGGACATGAACAGGCAATTCTCAAAAGAAGACATACATGTGGCAGAAATACGAAAAAAACTCAACATGACTGATCATTAGAGAAATGCATATCAAAACCGCAATGAGATACCATCTCACACCAGTCAGAATGGCTATTACTAAAAAGCTAAAATACAACAGATGCTAGTGAACTTGTGTAGAAAAAGGAATGCTTTTACATTGTTGGTGGAAGTGTAAATTAGTTCAACCATTGTAGAAGACAATGTGGTGATTCCACAAAGACCTAGAGGCAGAAATATCATTCAACCCAGCAATCCCATTACTAAGTGTATAGCCAAAGGAATATAAATCACTCTATTATTAAGACGCATGCACGGGTATGTTCATTGCAGTACTATTCACAATAGCAAAGACGTGGAATCAACCTAAATGTCCATCAATAATCAACTGGATAAAGAAAAAGCAATATGTATACATCATGGAATACTATACAGTCATAAAAAGGAATGAGATCATGTCCTTTGCAGGGACATGGATGGAGTTGAAAGCTGTTACCTTCAGCAAACTAATGCAGGAACAAAATAACTAAACACCACATGTTCTCAAATTTTCTCCATATCAGCAGTGTTACCATCCATATGTTCACTGAGGTGGCACTTTTAGTTGCCTTCAAGAACTTTTCCTTTGCAGTCACAACTTGGCTAATCATTTGACCCAAAAGGTTTAGCTTTGAGCCTATCTCAGCTTTTGACATACCTTCCTCAGTAAACTTAATTATTTCTAGCATTTGATTTAAAGTGAGAAATATGCTTCTCTTCCTTTCCTTTGAACTCTCAGAGGCTGTTTTAGGATTATTAATTGGCCTAATTTCAATATTGTTGTATCTCAGATAAAAAAATAAGAGGCCTAAAGAGAGGAGGAGAGATGGGGAAACCACCAATAAGTGAAGCAGTCAGAATATACACAGCATTTATCAATTAAGTTCTCAATCTTCTATGGGTGCAGTTTGTGGTGCTCTAAAACAATTTCAATGGTAATATGTAAGATCCCTGATCACAGATCACCATAATAGATATAACAATAATATGAAAGTTTGAAATATTTGAAGAATTACCAAAATGTGGCGCAAAGATGTGAATTGAGCACATGCTGTTGGAAAAATGGCACCTATAGACTTGCCTGACAAAGGGTTGCCACAAACCTTCAATTTGTAAAAAAAAAAAAAAAAAAAAAAAAAAAAAAAAAAAAAAAAAAAAAAAGCAGTATCTGTGAAGTGCAATGAAGTCAGGCCTGCACAGTTTCTATGGTTTTCCCCATGGTTAAGGCACAAGCTCCACACGTGCAAAACTTGTGAGTGTTATCTTTGCCGGAAAGAGCATGAGAGCTGCATTTGTGGACCAGATGGACATGGCAAAAGTGGTCACAGAAGCTAGCACCAGTGTGTGCATCCTGGTGGCAGAGGTGGTGCTGGCCCAGTACATATTCACCTTGAAAAGGAAGATGAGACAAAAAGTCAAAATCATCAAGATTCCTGTGGACAGGCCTTGTATCTCTGGACATTCTTTGCCACCTATACTGTTGTTAGAGGACAAAATCAAAAACGGAAGAACTCAGAATGCCTTAGGAATATTAGATAGCTAAGAAATGACTCACCAAAAGTCTGCTGTGCATGTAAAAATGATGCAAGAATTCCAGAAAAGTTCAGTTTGCATCAAGAACCCTGCAAAGATAACAAATTATCTGTGGTTTTATTAAAGGAAGATGCCAAACTTCAGATAATAATGGACTTTGCTATGACACTAAGTAGATTTTCCTACAAAGGGAAAAGATGTGTAATGTGTTATAATATGATTGACAACTATAAACTTGTCACAAGTGAATGTCAAAAAAGCAACTAAAAGAAAAATATTTTATTAATATTGCAACTAAAAGAAAAAGGTGACTAAAAGAAAAATTTTATTAATATTGCAACTAAAAGAAAAATATTTTATTATTGCAGTTAAACCTGTTACCTTTAAGAGAAGTGCCCGTTTATGGTAGAATAGTATGCTATCCAACATTGTGTCTTTGTTGAACAAGCTTTTACAAAAGCGAAATTTAAAGAAATTGTGGAAGAATCTGATGTTATGCTCAAGGAAGGATATAATAATTTACTTGAGAAGCTTCAATAACACAGTATCTGAAAAACATTCATATTTTCAGTATATATTGGTGCTGTAGAGAAGTTTATCAGTCAAGCTGGTGTTTATCATTCAAATGTCAAAGTAATGTTGATTTGTGGATTTGTGAAAATGTGTACTCAAAGGATTTAAAGGAGAATTAAGTCATGCAGTTAATGAACATAATGTTGCCTTGAAGTACACAGAACATTTCAGTCAATTAAAAGACAGTAGCAACATAATTCTGCTGAGACTCACAAGATTTTAAAAGGGCATACAGAATAGCCAAATTTTCACATTCTGAAAATTAGATCTCTAAACGATAGAGTGGAAAAGCATTCAGGAAAGTATTGTTTCATCAAAAGATGAATCACTAGAAGTAGCCAACTCTGTCTTAAAGAGGATTCAGTAAACAAGCATTCTTCAGGATGTTCCCTCCTGCAGGAGCAAGTGATACTAGAATTGTTCATCTCTTCATCTTGCTGAAAGACTATTTTTTATAATATAATTCTGGCTCTGAAAGTTTACCTTCATATATTTAAGTATTTTCAGACATGTGGAATCCATCAACAGGAAACTCCATTTTCTTCACCTCTCTCACCATACTTCCCACTACATGTTGTTAACAGATCAAAACAAAAACAAAAACACCTCAAAGTAAAAATTAGAAAAATAACTCCCTACTTTTCCAAAATGGCTTATGTTTTTTAATTTTATCAGGCTTTATTTTTAGGAGTCTTTTAAAATTGGGAATGTTAGTAGAAATCCAAAAAGAAGTTTTATGAAATTACAAAAAGAAAATTGCATACTTTAAGTGTTGTAATGTTTGTAATTTGTAATCATGCTGATGGTATCACCATCTCCTAAAATTATGTTAAGTTATTTTGCTTGGGGAAAATCAATATTGATCAGAAAAGCCTGGCTCTGCATACTTGGGGAAAATTATTAATGTCCACACATCACTAACCATTACAAAATGTTCTATATTGATTCACCGATAATAAACATGAAATGGAAAATATCTTTAAATACCCATTTTCCTTAAATGGATAGCACTCATTCAGCCATATAGACTTTAGCATAAATCAATTTATCCCATTCCTTCTTGCAAACATATTTTGATGAGATACAAATAAAGGCATCAAGGTTAGAAAGTAAGAAATTAAAGAAGACGCCATACCATATTGAGCAAAAAAACTACAAGGTTATTCAGAACAAACTGCCTTCTTTATAATTTTACCTAAATCTAGGCCTGGTCCCAGTTGTTTTTCAATTATTTTTCTTTGGAAATCAAATTCTGGCTAGTGACATAATCATTAAAAAATGCTTCATCCATCATCATCTATAGGCCTTGGTATTCTGTCTAGACAAGTTAATAAAGATCACATATGCAGGATCAGAGAATTATGTTGAAAATAAGAACATCTCCCTGAACTCAGATTGCAAAAAAGTTGTGTATGAAACCCATACGGAAATAGCTATGACAAACTGTCCTCTAATCAAGCCATAAACAATGGACTCTCACCTCTTCTGGAGAGCCTGATCGCACACCTTTGTCAGCAGCTGCAAGTCCTGTTGATACCTAAGAAGAAACAAAGAATAGAGAGGGCTAAGAATATGGTTTGTTTTGGTTTGGTTTTGCTCATTCGATTTGGTCTTGACACACAAGAAAGCTTTTCACTGGGAACAGCATGTATGCTAATATTTTAAATGAATGGATGTAATATCTTTGTACTGATTACAACCATGTAGTACTATAGTTATTTTACTTTACATTACACTGCAGGCCTTTTATCAGATACAGATACATGGTGCCTGCCAAGGAGTGAATCTTTCTTGCCAGAGATGGGGCAATAAACAAAATGAGTTGTTAGATCTATTTCAAAAGCCATATGTGCTGCCTGAGTTCGCTGCCATCCACTCAAGGGAAAGATTTGCTTCTAAATGCTTCAAAAGGACTCACTCAGCAGCTGACAAGGCCTGTGACCACAGGGGTCTGATAATTCACTGCCAACACATTTCGTTTTCACAGTTCAGCAAGAATGTCAGCTGACCCACAAGCACAAAGTATTTTCTTCCCTTATGCATGTTCTAGCAAGGTCTTCAAAGTCCCATTGGCAGCTTTTCTTGACTAAAGGCCACCATAACACATCTGGACTTTTATTCTCTTCCACTTTTTTTTTTTTGTTTTTTTTTTTTTTTTTTTTGGCTCATCTATGAAATGAGCATGACACACTCTCTGGCTAAAAGAACATCTCCTAGTGTTTTCTTTCCATATCTTTTCCTGCTTCTAAGTGGCCATAATTAAAACTTTTCTTATTATAGACATCTGAACTACAAGAATCTCTTCAACTCCCACTTTGAGGACATTCTAGTGTATGCTACAGAACAGTTTAGTGATTTTGCTTTAAGTATTCACTAATATCCTTTTTTATAATTATTAGATTCAATTAGCAATCAAGAAGAGATAATAGAATAACCATCTTATATAGGTTAACTCTTCTAGTATCTTCTTCTTTAGCAGTTTCACGGATACCCCATGAAACACACAGTTCATCTCCCTCAGGTGCAGGCTCAACACTTCATGGTGAGTAGCTGCGGAAGATCCAGGGACATTGAAGGTAGTGGTCAGCTTTATTTGGGTACAAGGTGTAAAAACAAGAACTTAGCATCAGATAGATTTATATAAAAGTACACCTTGATGGTGAAAATTGCAATGAATGGAACCAAAATTCTTCCCAGACATTCAAAGAAGATATTCAGACACCAAGCCTTAGATTTTTATACATTTTATTTCAAAAAATCTGCATAATAGCATTTTTTACCAGTTATATCTATGAAAAATGCATTTCCATTTTTTTCATTGGAAAATAGAATAATTCGTCAACATGGATTCGTCTAGCCTAATGTTGGAAAGGAATTTTTATTAACCTTATCAAACACATTGGCATTGGGAGAAATCAGTACTTTGATCAGCGATACCTCTCATACCAAAAGAATAGGGATAGGGCCTCACCTTTCCATAACCCCCAACTCTGGCCTTTTTCTGTACCACTTAAATTTCTCACAGAGATTCTTTAGCAGATATCATCTTGTTGTTTGAAAGTGTGGAGCTTCTTTTTTTTTTTTTCAACCAATAGGAAATTGTATTCCTTTGGCAATTGTTAGATATATCTCAGCATCCCAGCCTTGCTGTAAATTGGTTCTTAATAAACTTTACACATAACATTTAAGGGATACTTAGACAATTTAAATCGAGCTCTTTCAAATAGCACATGATACCCAATCGTGATTTTATACCACTTGATCAAGTTGAGATGTCTTGCCCAGATATCCCCTTTATATTTCTAGACAATGTCTTTACCAGCACAGCCAGAGCATTTTCAGAAGTCCCCACAACTGCCAATGGATCTATGAAAACTAATCACATCCATATCACTGGTAAGCTGTTTATCATATTTTGGGGAATTTTATGTTTTATTCACCAACAAATACTTACCAAATATCTACCATTTGCCAGGCACTATGACAGTTGTTGGATATACAATGAAAACACTGGCTTTTTGAAGATTATAATCTATTAGAGATCATGTATCGTAAATAAATAATCATACAACTAAATCTATTTTAGATAAGTACTATGATAAGGTGTTGTCAAACAAGAAGTCCTGATTTTAATTGGATGATAGGAGAGGACGCTCTGAGGATATGATAGTTAAATTAAAATCTGACAAAAATAAATAAGAATTATTCAGGTGAAAAGTAGCAAAAAAAATATTTCAGGCCCATGAAAACATAGTCTGAGAAGGAAATCATTGGAACAAAGAGTACTCCTATAATTCAACTAATATAATTTTCTCTTGCAAAATGTAATCCCTTCTTTTATAACATAAGAGAGCAAAAGATTCAGTAAAGTTAGGACCCTCCTAATGAAGGTCATGATTCTAAGTTCACAGGCATAATCAAATTCAGGGGTGTTCATTTGACTAGTGAGCACTACACCTAGGTACTCAGGTCATTTTGTATCAAAGGTCATACAGTCTTCCAATCACTGGAGCATAATCTTGCACATGTCATGGCAATACATCTGCACCTGAGGCACTACCAAGATTTTAGGATATTTGGTGCCTTAAACAGCTGTCTAGTTTAGAGATGGGTCAAGAGTGGAGTTCTGCTTTTCCACTTCCATCTTGGCAGTGGTCTCATTTTCTACATTTGATTGGAAAAAAAATTGTAGGCATTGATGTAAGACCTCTTTAAAATCTTTTGTTTGGTAAAAGTGAGGGATCATTGCAGATGGGAGGCAGGACTAGCTTACGACTCTGGACAGAGCAGCATGTGGAGGCTTGCATTGTGAATTTCAGCTCCGGATCAACTGCAAGAACAAACCAGCAATCTTGAGAGGACCCACAGAACCTCTGAAGGAAACAGACTGCTCCTGCAGCACCCAGGAAACACCCCAAACACTCTGAGAGGTAGACAGCCTCACACAAAGCCCATCTCACCCTTTGCCTGGAAACAGACACGGTGCTGTTGGCTAGGGGGCATGGTGGGAGTGAGACTGGCCCTTCGGTTTGCATGAGAGCTGGCTGAGGCCTGTGACTGCTGGCTATCCCCCACTTTCCTGACAACCTGCATAATCAACAAAGGCAGCCATAATTCTCCTAGGTTCACAACTCCAGTGACCCGTGAATCTAACTCGTACCCCCCACAGCAGCTGCAGCAAGACCTGCCCAAGAAGAGTCAGCTCAGACATGCCTAGCCCCGCGGTCACCTGATGATCCTTCCCTATCCAACCTGGTAGTGGAAGACAAAGGGCAAGTAATCTTGGAGTTCTAGGGCACCACTCACCACCAGTCCCTCTCCAGACTACTACAGCTGATGCTTTCTGGAGAGCTCCACCTCCTGGCAGCAGACCAACCAGAAAATAAAGCATTAAACCACCAAAGGTAAGGACCCTCATGGAGTCCGTTGCACCGTCTGCCACTTCCACCAGAACAGACACTGGTGTCCACGGCTGAGAGACCCATAGATGGTTCACATCACAAGACTCTGTGCAGATAACCTCCAGTACCAGCCTGGAGCCAGGCAGACTCATTGGGTGGCTAGACCCAGAGGAGAGACAACAATCACTGCAGTTTGGTTCACAGGGAGCCACATCCATAGGAAAAGGGGTAGAGTCTACATCAAGGGAACATCCAGTGAGACAAAAGAATCTGAACAACAGCCTTCAGCCCTAAACCTTCCCTCTGACAGAGCCTGCCCAAATTGGAAGAAAACAGAAAACCAACCCTGGTAATATGACAAAACCAAATTGATAAAGAGGAAGTTAAACTGTCACTGTTTGCTGATGATACGTTCGACCAAGCAGAGAATCAAATCAAAAACTCAACCCCTTTTACAATAACTGCAATAAAATAAAATACTTAGGAATATACCTAACGAAGGAGTTGAAAGAACTCTGAAAGGAAACTAGAAAACACTGCTGAGAGAAATCATAGATGACACAAACAAATGGAAGCACATCCCATGCTCATGGATGCGTAGAATGAATACTATAAAAATGACCATACTGCCAAAAGCAATCTACAAATTCAATGCAATCTCCATCAGAATACCACCATCATACTTCGCAAAATTAGAAAAAATCAATTTTAAAATTCATATGGAGCAAAAAAAGAGCACACATAGCCAAAGCAAGACTAAGCAAAAAGAACAAATCTGGAGGCATCACATACCTGATTTCAAACTATACTATAAAGCCATAATTATCAAAACAGCATGATACTGGTATAAAAATGGGCACACAGACCAATGCAACAGAATAGAGAACCCAGAAATAAACCCAAATACTTACAGCCAACTGATTTTCAACAAAGAAAACCAAAACATAAAGTGAGGAAAGGCCATAATTTTTAATAAATGGTGCTGGGGTAACTGGCTATGTTCTCACTGATATGTGGGATGCAAAGTCATGTAGAAGAATTAAACTGGATCCTCACTTTATACAAAAATCAACATAAGATGGATTAAGGGCTTAAACCTAAGACCTGAAACTATAAAAATTCTAGAAGATAACACTGGAAAAATCCTTCTAGACATTGGTTAGGAAAGGATTTCATGACCAAGGACCCAAAGCAAATGCAATAAAAACAAAGATAAATAGCTGGGACCTAATTAAACTAAAGCACTATTGCACAGCAAAAGGAACAGTCATCAAAGTAAACAGACAACCCACAGAGTGGGAGAAAACCTTCAAAATCTATACATCTGACAAAGGACTTATATCCAGAATCTGCAACTAACTTGAACAAATCAGTAAGAAATAAACAAACAACCCTATAAAAAAAAAAGTGAGCTAAGGACATGAATAAACCATTCTCAAAAGAAGATATACAAATGGTTAACAAACATATTTTTTAAAAAGTTCAACATCACTAATGATCAGGGAAATGCAAATTAAAGCCACAATTCGATACCACCTTCCTGCAAGAATGGCCATAATCAAAAAATCAAAAAACAGTAGATGTTGGCATGGATGAAGTGAACAGGGAATGCTTCTATACTGCTAGTGGGAACATA